CTTGGGGGTGAGGGACTGAGGGGACCTGGGGGTGGGGGGGGCTGGTTTTGGGGGCGTGACGGGCTGGGGAGCTGAGTGTGGGGGCTTTTTGGGGTGGGACCTGGCTTTGGGGAAGGGGGAGGAGTTTCGGGGGGGAGTGAGGGAGTCGGGGCCCTGAGAAGTGGGGGAACAGGGCTTTGGGTTGGAGGTGGGTGATAGAGGGAATGGGAGGGCTCTTGGAGATCTGGCTGGGCGGGGGAACCTGGGGGTCACACCTGGCCTTTGGGGCCTTGCGGGAACCAGGCTTTGAGAGAGCTGGGAGACCTGGGTGAGGGTGGGGGCTTGGGGGGACCTTTGAGTGGGGACCTGACACTAGGGATGGGGACAATCCCGGGGAAGGGGAGATGGTCCTGGGGGTAATGTGTGGGAGGGTTTGTGGGTGTCAAAAGCAGGGCGTTGTTGGGGGGTGTGTGAGGGGCTTGGAGAGTGGCTTTGTGGGGAGTGGTTGTGGCGAATGGAGCTTTGGGGTGGATGTTAGCTGTGGGGAGAGGGGTGTGAAGGATTGGGGTGGGGGTCTGGGGGCTTGGCCCGTGGGCTGGGCTGCACGGGGAGTGGAGGGGAAGGTGTTCCTTGAGTGGTTGGTATAGGAAGGGTGCTGTGATGCAGAAAAGCGTCTTTAGGGGCAGAGCCAGTGGAGTGTGTATGGGGCTGCCTGTGGGGCTACGGCTGGGTGTTGTGGGGTGGGTCTGGATGCTGGGAGGCAGATCCCTCGGGGCTGAGCAAGTCTTTGGGGCAAAGGTTGGATGGAGCGGAGGAAAGGGAACATCAGCCCATGTGTGGGCTGGGGGGCGTCTGCTCTTGTGAGGGAGCTTCACAGGGCACAGTGGTATGGGGCGAGCAGGAGGTGGCTGGAATTTGCAATGACTGGCTCAAGCGCCATCGAAGTGGCTGTGCCTGCTTGCACAAAGTGTCATCGGCACAGCTCTTGGCTTCTTGGCTTGTTGTGTGCTTTGATCTGGGGTGTAGGGCGCAAGGTTGTGGTGTGAAGGACCTGGCGGAGGTCTCTGGGGAGCACAGTCATGGGGTAGGCAGGTGCTATAGGACGTATGGCCCTCCTGTTGCTTGCTGGTCGGCTCCCAAGAGCCTGTCGGTATAAGCAGGATGTTAAGTGACAGCTTTGTGCAGAGGAGGGCCTAAAGCTTTGCAGCCAGGATGACCTGGGGCTCAGGGCTGTGCTCTCCCAGGCGTTGTTTTTGAGGGTTCTGGTGCGAAAGCTATGAGCTCCTCTGGGACAGGTGTGTGCTTCTCTTTCCCTCCTGGCCTTTCCCTCTGAATTTCCTGTAGTATGTGGCTTCCAAATGCAAGGCTTTTTTTTCCTCGCAAATCAACTTGGGAATGCCCCAGCTGGGCTAGCAATGACAATCTTATTGGCAGGTGTTAATCCCACCCCATCACACAGTAAAGAAGAGGTGTCCATGTTATGTGGTGTGGCATGCTCATAGGGAATTCAGTTGCAGAAATAGGAATTGGAGAAGACCTAGTTTATTTCCATTGGCTGATAAAGGATTGTTCCCTTTTCCATAGAGCTCTGTCCTGTATTAAATCAGAGTTGGGCTTTCCTTAGGAAAAAAATCAAATGAGCAGAGGCAAAAACAGTTCAGTCATTCAGAGGATAAATGGTGTATTTGGATTAGACCTAAGAGACACACTTGATCTTGCTTTGGAAGCCTTCAGCTCTTCTTGAGGTAATTGCTCTATTCTTTCTGAAATTTACTCCACATTTTGTAAGTGTAGAGCTTGTCTTTGTTGTTTTGTTGTTTTTTTTTCTTAACGCCTCAGACATCCTCAGCAACTGGTGACTGAATTGGTACCTGCATGGGCTCCTTTTGGGTGAGGTACTAAAGGACTGTCAGTTCCTTATGCTGTTTGCATAGTGGATATGATACCTGGAGTATTAGCTTTAAATTTCTGGTCTTGGTCCTTTGCCTGAAAAATGCTTTGTTTGTTTTTCAGTTCAAAGAAGAGATTTCCAGGCGGTTTAAAGCCAAACAGGATCAGCTGGTTCTGATCTTTGCTGGGAAGATCCTGAAGGATGGAGACACGTTGAATCAACATGGGATCAAAGATGGGCTGACTGTACACTTGGTCATTAAGACTCCACAGAAGTAAGAAACTGCTTCATCTTGGGGGGCTGATGGTAAATGGGTGATGCGAATAAATGATGGTGGAGCATTTCTGCCCTGTTGGTGACTAAAGTGGAGTTCTTGTGCGAGGCCTGAGTACTGGCTTTGGGGCGTGTGCGAGTCTGGCAGCGGTGATCCAGCAGGAGAACTCTCCTAGGCTCGCTCTCTGCCACGGCTTTGCCATGCAGCTGTGGGGTTTATCACTTGGCCTGTCTTTTCCCTAGGTTACACAGCTGTGTAAGTTTGTGGCAAGTACCTGAGGGGGTTGACTCGTCTTTAACACATCTTGTGTATGTGGCTTTGAGTATTTTGAACCTTTATAATTTAGTCATCTTGAAAGAACCCACTGAAACTTGATATTAGTTCTAACAAAGATAAGTTGTTGTTAACAGAAATTACTTTCCCAATGAATACGTGTTGAAGTTGCAACTAATGCCCGGTTTTTCTTTTGCTTCCTATCATGTACTCTGCTCTAAGGCTGTGCTCACACTCTCTTAGGTGCCGTGGGAGGGGAGGCATGCTGCATGTGCAGAGCACTATCTGTGGGGCACAACAGTGTTTCTGTGTGGTACCTATAGGCATGTCTGCATGGGTAGGTGCAGACAGGTGGGTGCTCCGCCTCGGTGGGAATGCGCGGAGGCTCAGACCGTATGACCACGTGCATGCAGCGGTGTGGTTGTTAGCTCAAGTACAGTACTGTGGGCACACCCAGTTCCCACTTTGGACATGGCTCACTTGTGTCCGTCTGCACCGTGTAGCTCAGTCTGAGAAAGGGACTTGGGACTGGCCACAAGGTCCTGCAGGGTTAGGCTTTTCCCAGTGCTATCCAGCGGAGTGTTGAGCACAGAAGGTTCTTGGGGACAGTTGCTGTATTTGAGGCGCAGCCACATCTTGTTGATCTCGAAACGCCCTTCGCAACCATTTCTTGGGCTCCTTGCTGCAGTGTGATTGGGCTCCTGATGAGCTAACAGGGCTGTGTCTCTTTGTGCAGTTCTGCCGTCCCCTGAGAGACCTGCCTTACTGGCTTAGTCAAGATTAGTGCTTCCCCCCCATTCTTTTTTACAAAGACAAGCATGTGTATTGTCAGCTTCTGCAGGAGGCCTCTGTCTGCATTCTGCATCTCCAGGTAGCCTGACAGTCTGATGCTGTTTACCACTGTCTCCACAGCAAACTGCGGTATTTGTGAACCATTTCAAAGGGTAAACAAGAGAGCCGTCCTGGGTTGCTCCTTTTTTTCCCCACTAATAGTCACAGATAAGTGCTTACTGAAGACATTACAGCCTCTTCCTGTGCTGAGAGAAACCAAGTGACCTTTCTCCAGCTTCCTTCTTCCTTTTTTGTTCAGCTTCCTATTTGCTTTGTTTCCCCACTCTCTGCCTCCCTCTCAGTGGCCATTGGTTTTCAGCAGCAGTCAGGTGAGTCTGGAAAGTGGACATGGACCTTCAGGTTTCAATTTTAAAGTCCTGGAATAAGAGTGAAAAAAGAAAGGAAGTTAGAGAAAGGAATCATTCTTGGTTTGGAAAAAAAAAAAAAAAAAGAAATCATTGTTCTTATTTACTTGTCAGTGGCATAATAGCATTATTTGAGGTGAGAAAAGTGAATTTTGTGGTCTGATTTAATGTGAAAGCTCTTCAGCACTAGTCTAGAACTCACTGTCGTGACTACAGATGCTTCAGAGAATCTTTCAATGTTCTCTTTCAAATTTCTATAAAAAATCCTGAGAAGGAACTGTGATTACAAGGTATTAGCTTGGGTTGGTTTACTCAGTAAAGCTGATGTCCAGCATCTGCTACGCTGTGCCTTATGGCACAGTATCTGCATGTGTGTATTAAAAGAAGTTCTAGTCAATTTGTGTTGGACGGAGAAGCTTTGCATGCAAGGTACAGCGAGTGGCAGAGATGTGAATTTATAGCCAAGCTGGCCAGAAACGTTCTGTAACTTCATGGGGCAGATGCTAGCTGCCTTGTGCCTCAGTTTCCCTATGTGTAGAGTAATGCTGATACTTATTTTTGCCACCAGGAGCACTGATAGGAATATTCAGTGCATGGGAGGATTTGCAGAAAAGCAGATCCTTGTTTACCCTATGCACTAGCCCTGCTGTAACCTCCTGTGGTTTCTGTGGGAGCAGCAGGAGGATTTTCCTGTTTGGAGCAAACTCATTGCTCAAGGATATAGCTGAGGTAAATAGTTCAGTGTGATTCAAGGAAGAGCTAGATACAACTCAGGGTAAGACCAGTCAAGCCACTTCATATAGGCCAGGATAAAATGTCAGGGGCTGTTATGCATCAGGATGGGAGGCAGATTCCAGCAGATGGAAGGCATCTGGGAGCACAGCTGTGCATCTGTGCAGGCGGGACTGGAAGCAGCCAGGGCTGACTGCTGTGGGGACAACAGGCACAAAGGGATGCTCGGTCAGTGTGAGGTGCACCGTCCTGTGTCCCCCACAGAGGACTCAGCTCACTGTTCCTGAATCTCAGGAGTTTAATGCCTTCTTTTGTTTCTTTGCAGGGTCCAAGATTCAACATCTGCTGCTTCTGCCCCCAATGCTGCTTCTGCCCCCACTGCAACCCCTTCTTCTCCTGCTGCCCCATCTCAGCCTTCCACGTCCAGCAGTGCTGTTTCTGACACAGGGAACGGCAGCAGACGGAGCAGTGGGTCAGGGACCATGGGAGGTCCTGGAGATGGAGGCCCTAATAGTGCTACATCCATCCTGTGTAAGTGATGGCTGTGAGAAGGTGTGACACAAAAGAAGAATTTCCTAGGATTAGACCAAGGAGTTGGGGTTCTTGACCCCTGTAGTTGTCTCTGCTTGCTGGAGGCTTTGCATGAGTTGCTTCCACTGGCATACCTTGGTTTCCCTCTTCAGGATAATGCCAAAGTCCTTAGTGAAGCATGTGCAGGGAGTGTCCTCCTTTGGAGCTGGCTGCCGTAGAAATGTAGGAGACCCCTAGATTAGTGTGAGTGCAGTTCAACTGATGTGCTTGTCCTCTTCTTGCAGCTGTTGACAGTTACTGACTCGCATCTCTCTCCCTGTGTGTTGTTCCCTCTCCAGCTGGCTTTGGTGGCATCACTGGGCTGGGCAATCTTGGGATGGGCTCTGCCAACTTCATGGAGCTCCAGCAGCAGATGCAGCGGCAGCTGATGTCCAACCCAGAGATGCTTTCTCAGATCATGGAGAATCCCTTGGTGCAGAACATGATGTCTAACCCTGACCTCATGAGACAGATGATCATGGCCAATCCCCAGATGCAGCAGCTCATGGAGCGAAATCCAGAGATAAGCCACATGCTGAATAACCCAGAGCTTATGAGGCAGGTGAGTCAGCATGCCAGGGCCTGTTTAAAGCATGTTCAGGAGCATCTTTGTGGACCAGCTTCAGTGTCTACTCTCCAAATGGAGTGTGTGAATGCCAGATCAGTGATTTTTAGAGATCTTTTCCTTCCTGCTGTAAGCTCCCCACAAACAGATGGTAGTCTTCAGTTATGTGAATACTGCTTACTCAACCCACATACTTGCAACTCTTATCTCCCTTTCAGGGCTATTGAATTCATCATGTGTTGGGCAAAAAAGGATGCTGGGATCATCCTAGCGTGCTTCATAGAAGGATATTGTATTCTGATTCAGGGATGGGAGTAAAAGCAGTCACAGAGAAGTGAAGCTACTGCAAAAGCTTTTTGTTTCTCTCCATTTCTCTTGATAGATTAAGTATAGACTACAGAGCTGTACAGTCAATATTTTACTGCCTGTATCAGCGGAGAGCACTAGTCATAGGCTGGGATCTTAGAGGTCTCAATTTTCTGTACAATTCCAGAACAGAGAGGACCCATGCCCTAGAGGCCTGGCTATCTGGAAGACCGAAGGTTCATCGGAAGGGAAGCATAAGGGATGAGTGAGAGCCTTGAGTGTTAAATAGCCCTTGACAGGACTCTGCTGTTCCCCCAGGAAAACTTGTCAGAAGGTCTTTCTGGGTTGTTGCTGAATGAGCCTAGTTTCCATCTGCTTCTTGGTTATCTTTCTTTCAACTGTGTCGGCCATACATGAAATTCCAGAGCTTTAGGACTAAATTGTGAATGATCCATACTAAAGCAGCATTTCAAATGAGATCTGAATGTTCCTTGTGCAGGGGAGATCCATCAGAAGTCTGGAGAGGGTGAATTTCTTGGTTTTCTTGAAATGGGAAGGATCCAATCTCTTCTACCTTCTCAGTTTTTGAATGCAGTCCATCTACTTTGCGTGGGAGCATATGGGTGTTAAATGTTTGGATGTCCTGATACTGCTTAGAAACAAAACAATCTCATCCAGCTGAATTGAGGTTGAGAAGGAAGAGAGCTGAGCAAGGATGGGAGGAGCCAGGATCCCTGGGCTCTCTTTGCTTGGATAAATGATCTCTCTGCTCTCTGGCTGTGAAACGGGTTTAATTATATTCTTTCTGCTGGGAGCTGGGATTTAACTCTTTCAGCACTTGGCTGGTAGATCAGTAGAATACCACTGGGCTGCTAACCACTCTCTTGATCCACTCTGGTCTTCCATGGTGCATATGGGCCTGAGCTTTCCATGTTTTCCCCCTTCTCCCAGACAATGGAATTGGCTCGTAACCCTGCCATGATGCAGGAGATGATGCGGAACCAGGACCGTGCTTTGAGTAACCTCGAGAGCATTCCAGGAGGATACAACGCACTGCGCCGGATGTACACGGACATCCAGGAGCCCATGTTTAGTGCAGCCAGGGAGCAGGTATTGGCTGCATTCCTGTAAGTGGGGTGTAGTGTGCTGAGCATGGGAAAGGGGTCTTTCCCTGACCCCCGAGCTAACGGGGCAGCCTTCCCAAAGCATGGCTGCCCACCCCTCCCACTCCAGATGATGAATGCAGCCACTAGCAGGAGAACATTGTGCAGTGCCTGTCATCTGCTTTTATTACACAGTTTGGTGTATCTGAGCAGAGACCTGACCTCGCTCCTTTGGTCTCCAAGCAGGCTGGATGCCAGCCATCACTGATGTGAAGGCCCCATAGCTTCGTTAGCACAGCCCTCTGCTCTCAGCCCAGCTTACTGTATTAGCTCAAGCCTGACGCCTTTGGATTGGAGCTGGCTGAGATCCAGCTGGCTTGAAGCACAGGAGGAGTGAGCACAGGTCTGTCTCCAAAAGGCTGTGCAGACATACTCCAGTCTAGCATTACCTACTGGTATGTCCGGGTGCTGATTTTACATGGATGTTTTGAAGCCCTGCATTTGGGAGCCAAATCTAGGGCTGTGGCCACTTCTTGAGCCTGGTCTCTTTGTGAGCGAGGTGTGTTGTGGATTACAGATTCCTCAGGAGGCAAATTATGGCATGTGTTTCGCAAATTCAGGACCTGGATGAATATGATCGGCTGTTCCCTAGCTTGTACGGTGGTGGGGTTAGTCCGACATTCTCTGCTGGGGCTAACTGATTACAGCTATTTCTTTTTTCTTTTTCCCTAGTTTGGCAACAATCCTTTCTCTTCCTTGACGGGAAATTCTGATAGCTCAAGCTCTCAGCCTTTGCGGACGGAGAACAGAGAGCCATTACCGAACCCCTGGAGTCCCACACCCCCTGCTTCCCAGAGCCAGGCGCCCAGCAGTGAAGGGAGCACTGGCTCGGCAACCACCCAAAGCACACCGACTGTATCCAACCCCTTTGGGCTGAATGCTGCTAGCATTGGGGCTGGTACGTAAGCGGGAGAGGAACCAGAGGGTGCTACTGACTAAACAGGTCACCCAGGCTTCCTTGGAGGGCGGCTCCCTCTGGCATTTGAGTGCCTGTCTGTGGCTGCTCTCCAGATGAGTGATTCTAGCCCAGTTGCAAGCACAAATGGATTATCTGTGGTGTACCTGTTGGAGGGTTACTTTGGGAACTCTGATGTTCCTGCAGCCCTCAGAGTGTGGGAGAGTGGCAAGGAAAGCACTACCATGGCTGTCCACAGTGATATGCACTGTTGGCCAGGGGATGAAGCAAAGGCATTGCTGTTATATGTCATGTTGTATTTCAGGCATTGCAGCAGTGCTTAGGCTTCTAAGGGGTTTTCCTTTGTCTTCTCTTCCCTTTCCCCTTGCAGGCATGTTTAACAGCCCAGAGATGCAAGGGCTCCTGCAGCAGATTTCTGAAAACCCTCAGCTGATGCAGAACATGATATCTGCCCCTTATATGCGGAGCATGATGCAAACTCTTGCCCAGAACCCAGACTTTGCAGCACAGGTAAAAGTGTTGCAGTTTTCTTCTCTTGTCAGACAGGCTGTGAGCACGATGCTTGTGAGAACCAGTCTGCTTCTATAGCTGGAGTGGTTCCTCTTGCAGAAACTGGAGAGCTGAGTGAATATAGACAGTTTTGTTGTATTTCTCAATAGTTCGAAGGCAGTCACAGTACTGAACCCCGTGTCTTAGGAGCCCCTAACAAAAAAGGTGGCTTTCCAAGCGACATGGGAATGGCCCTTCTCTTTGCCCATGGTCAAGTGGCCCCAGTTCAACACTGCTGCCAGGAATTGAGCTGTCCTGTTTTGGTCCCCATTAGCAGGGGAGCATGTTGAAAGCCCAGGGAGGGAGTCAGGGGCGTGACTGACTTGTTCTTCATGGCTTAGTTACATAGGGTTTAACAGCCAGTGGCAGCAACCCTCTGACCCTACCTACGTGTGCTGTCTCTTGCTAGATCATGGTAAATGTCCCCCTCTTTGCTGGGAATCCACAGCTTCAAGAACAGCTCCGCCTTCAGCTCCCTGTCTTCCTGCAGCAGGTAAAGGCCCCTGTCTGGCCCTGTGCTGCTCTCAGCCCTGGGCTCCAGAGCTTTTCCATCCTCTGTAGGAAAGGGAGTATCTTGGCTGCTTAGTCAAGTGGACTAGGAAGCATGTGGGCTTGGGTGGTTTGGGCTGTGAAAGAAAGGGGTTTGCACAGGGAAGAGAGAAAGGAAGAGCTTGTTTAGACAAGGCAATCTAAATTAAGTAGTCTAAATTACCTAAAGGTGGACTTCAGATTAGACTAGTTAAGCTACATGAAACTTGTGTGTGGACAGTCTCTCACTGTAATGAGTTTACAAAAATTAAAACAGTTAATTGTGCTAGAGCAGCTGGTTCACTCAGGTAAATCAAATAGAATCACTTTAATTCCAAAGGCTTGTGCCCCCAGTTCTAATCTGATTCACCTAGTTCATTTAGAAAATTTGATCTAAACCCTATGAGTATCTCTGCAGATGAGCCCTGCAGTCTGGAGACTTGAAGGAGGAACCAGACTCGCAGGTTCGCTCTGGCTGCAGGGCGAGAGGCGCAGCTCTATGCTGATTGTTGTTCAGATTGAAAGCTGGTGCATCTCTGGCTGCAGAAGCTCTCACTGTTTGGTACCGTTGTGTCTTTTTGCCTTTGTTCCTAGATGCAGAACCCAGACTCCCTCTCCATTCTCACCAACCCCCGCGCCATGCAGGCGCTCCTCCAAATCCAGCAGGGACTCCAGACACTGCAAACGGAGGCCCCAGGACTAGTGCCAAGGTAATAAGCGCTTTAGAGTGGGTTTCTGCAGGCAGAGCTAACATGCTTGATACCAGCATGCAGACTAGCTGTTGATTCTTCGAGGAGATCTGCTCAGGGCACTCTGTCATGGGGACTTCTGCATGTGTGTGTGCCTGCAGGCCTCTGTGAACTCCAGCTAATTAGCACTTTCTGCTTGCTTATACTTCACGCGGGAAGTCTTTGACCCTTTCTTTTTGGACAAAAAGGTTTGGAAACCACTTGGTCCCTCCTCCATCTTTTGTTTGCTGTATTCACTATTGGCTGAACTCAAGAATTTTATCTCTGAACTTGAACAGTATGAGATGCACAGCCACAAGGTTGGGTGGGTACCTTGGGGCAGACTGGTCTGCTGGCAGCCCTCAGGTCTTCTGTTCTGTGGCAGCATGGGTCACATTCAGTCTCTGCAGTTCCTTTCAGGCCTGCACCTCTGTTAGGATTGCTTACTCCCAGTACCATGTGTGACCAGGATACAAACGCAGCCGGTTTAATTTACAAAGCTGTCCTGTAGTATGGGCCTCAGTGAGGGCCAGCTTGGCAGAGCCTGCTGGTTACTGTGCTGCCCAGCTCTCAGGGGACACCCAGAAGTGCCAGCTTGCCTCTGAGCGCGCCCTGCCTTCCTCTGCAGCCTCGGCTCCTTCGGCATGCCTCGAATGCCCCCGTCCTCCACAGGAGGAAGCACAATCCCGGAGAACCCTGTTCCCTCCGCTTCGACGCCGGCCAGTGCCTCTCCAGCTGGGGGTGGTAACCCCCAACAGCAGCTCATGCAGCAGATGATCCAGCTGCTGGCCGGAGGAAGCTCTCAAGTATGTAATGCCCAGCTGCATGCTGATACACTTCTGGGGAGGGGCATCTCCAGGGTGAGCTAGAAGCTGTCCCAATCCCACTCACTCTAGGGATGTGGTCCCTGAGAGGTTTCTCTTGGCTGTGGTGCTTGATGCTAAGTTTGGTGTCTGAGGCTGGCTAGTTCTTTGGGGTGTAGTAACCCTTTGCACAGGTTTGAAGCTAAGAGTGCCAGGGATCCTCCTCCCAGCGCTGCTGTCACTGTAGGTGCAGAACTTGGACTAACTGTGTGCACAGTGTGGCTGCTGTGCCAAAGCCCATGGGGAGATGGGTAACAACAGTAAACAAGCCTGGAATATTTTCAGTATGCCTAAAGCTGAGCTCAGGGTCCCTGCTCAGCTGTTGTTGCTGGCCCTGCCCATATTAGATGTTGATCTCTGCTGTCTGACTCTAAGGTCTTTGTCCTTTCCTTCTGTAGGCGCAGAGTCCTGAAGTGCGATTCCAACAGCAGCTGGAGCAGCTGAACGCCATGGGCTTCATTAATCGTGAGGCCAACCTCCAGGCGCTTATAGCCACTGGTGGAGACATCAACGCAGCTATTGAGAGACTGCTGGGCTCCCAGCCTTCCTAAACTCTTGTCATGCTGCCCCACAGATGTCAGCACATGCATCCATACACATGCACAGGGGATCTTTCAGGAAAGCCCACCATCATTTTCATATCTGACAGCTGTCCATGTATTTAAAACAAAAAGATACAGCTTAACCCCTGACCTTCCTACTAAGTTAAGATTTCATGTTGAAATGCTCTTTAACTGGCTTGTATGTGGATTCCAGTTCTCATCGTGGCCACAGAGACTTCAGATGTGTATTTTTTCCTAAATATGCCCTCTGTCTCAGACACTCTTCTCTCTCTCTCTCTCTCTAGATGGTAGAGGCGATACTTCTAGTTACTTACCTGAAAGATTGTGTTTTGAGTAGCTTGATTTTAACTGTACATGATTCCCTCCCCTAGTCCTCCTTTCAGGCAAATATTTAAAACTTGAGCCAAGTTTGGTTTTGGTTATTTCTCCCAGCATCTTATTGGGAATGGATCAAAAGAAAAATTGAAATGACCTGGAAATTTCTGGTGTTATTTGTCTTAATGTTTCACTGGATGAACTGAGCCTGTGTCCCTTGCACACAGGTGCCTCTAATCTCCTGGTAGAGGGTTAATGTGCATGAAAACTACATTTGAAGTATGGCCTCTTTACACTTTTGGGATGGTGTAAAGGAGCCTAGATGCCTTCAGGGATCAGGCTTGCTGTTCTTGAACTTGAGTTGAAAGTGCCGTGCAGAAGAATGTGTTTGAAAGGTGTGTTTCTGCCCAAGCGATTTAGTTCTTGCGCAGCAGTGTCAGGGGTTTGTTGACTCTTGTGCTTCATAGGCTCACTTCTGAAAGTGTAAAAACAAAAAAAGAAAATGGAAAAATAAGTTAATGATCTTTTCGCTTCACTGGAAAATGTTGAAGTTCATGTTCTTCCCAGTTTAGATCCATCCTCCATTCCCCCCCTCCCCCCAGTTTTGGTGTGTTTGAATGTTAAGACTCTCCAAGAAACTCCCCGAGGACCAGCAGGGTGATATTTTCCCAAGAGCCTCCATGGCTGTGTAATTTGCATACCATTTTTATCAAAGAAAATAAATGCGCACAACCATCTGTCTCCCTGCACTCCATGTATCTTCCTTGATTGCCACATTGAAGCTGGTTGAGTTCCCCTAGTTACTTGTGATTAATCTGTCTTGTCCCCCACACTTACCTCTTGCAGATCATGTGGGGTGTCGTGCAACCTCCCTGCCTGGGCAGGCTTCCTTCCCTCTTGTGGTAGGAAACCTTTTTGACACTTAAGAAATGCTGCTGAAGGCTTGCCCAAAATCTGGCCCTAAACATGCCTGGTTGGAAGCTTCCTTTGAATTAGGGACTTCCAGGTATGTGTAGGACAAGTAGTTCTGCTGTATTTGGATGACCTGATCCACAGAAACCAGTGGGTTTTTCTGCACATTGCTTGCTGTTAGCTGGGTGTTAGTGGGTTTTGTTTGTTTGTTTTTTTTAAAGTTTCTTTTGGTAAGAGAAGATTGGGCAGTGAGGGGGAATGGGAGGAATCCCAGTGCTGCCTTCTTGTATACCTGTAAAACCTGCTGCACCCAGCTTGCTTCTGTGTTGGAGATGGGATCTATCAATACTGTGTGTTGTTGGAGAGCGTAGGTGGAACAGTGGTTGCATGAGAAAACATGGGAGTGCATGCGGGCTGGAAATGCGCCTGCGTTTGTGTATGTGCATCATGAGACTGGGGTCGTTTAGATGAGGATTCAGAAAGCCTAGCCTGATCTCTTCCCTTGGAGTCTGTGCACATACATGTGGATTTCTTTTTGCAACCTCTCCAACGTAAAAAGAATTTGTGGAGAGTTGTGTAAGGATGAGTACTTAAGTTCCTGGTTGCACTGGCAGGGTCAGAGCTCTTTCCTAATGTTGCTCATTGGCCCCTTTGCAGTTAAAAATGGGCTTATAAAAAGGCCTGTATGGTCCTTTGTGATATCTTAGATTGGGCAGATGACCTTTGTCTGCACTAAGGTCTGTTTATCTCTGCAAAGGCTCTGTCCCCATGCAAGCCAGCTCTTGCAAAGAATGTGCTTGTGGGAGTTGCAGACAGAGGATGGGGTAACCAGGTAATGAGAGGGAGCGGAGAAGGCAGCTGGAAGGAGAGGTGGTGCTGCTGGGTTGTGGGGAGCAGAGACGTATCCCTGTCTTTGCAATAAAGTTGTGCTCTGCATTTGAACCTCTTTCAAAAGCAAAACTAGTCCCAAACTTGTTTCTGGCAAGCCACGGTCCTTCCATCTCCTTCCTCAGTGTTAGCAAGATGTGCCAATGTGGTGTAAATTACACCAACGTGAGGGGTCTGTGTACTTGTGAGGGGAGCTGGTGTGCTGCTTGCTGGCAGGACAGAAACTTCTGACCTGTCCCTCTGCTCCTGATGTAGGAGGGACTTGGAGGGGTCCAGTGAATCCAAAGCAATGAGCCTGCTGAGAGGGGAGGGCTCCTGCGGGGCTGTGGCTGCCATTGCTGTCTTGGCTTGAGAAGGTGGAGAACGGTTGGTGATGCTTCAGTGTCGCTGAGATGAGGCTGGAGCTGAGCCACACAGAGGCTGGCTTCTCGGTGCCTGTGAGCAAAGCTGGCTGGAAATACCTGCATTGTGGAGGGATCCTGCTGGCAGCCTAGGCAGACTGCTGTGAATATTGAGGAGAATTAATGTGCTGCTTGTAGAAGTTCTTGCTAGGATGTTTTTCCTCAGCTAGGGTCCTGCGTTTCCAGAGAGGGCTCTGGACCTGGCAAGCGCCTGGACGCCATTCTCCAATGCGTCCCATAGAAGGAGGATAATTGTCGTTTGTCTGGGGGAGAAGAGAGAGGGAAATGCTGAGTCTTTACAGGCCCTTCAGTCCTCAGTGTCTCTCTGCTCATTTAAGGAGGAAAACTTATTTCTCCTGTCTCTCCATGTTGCAGCATCTGCTCTTATGTTAGTTTGAGATCATTCCTCACATGCTGCCAGCCCACCAGCCAAGGTGCTAAAATAAAGATAACAGGGCAGCCTGCTATCTCGGCTTGCAGCCTCTGTTTGCATCTGATGTTCATCTACCAGCTCTCCAGCTTCCCCCGGGCAATTTGGCAAAGCTGCCACCCTCCGTGCTCTCCTCCTTGCTGCTCCAGAGGGGCTTTGCCATACTTGGGTGGAGCAGCTGGGTGGATTCGTGGCTCTGCCTTTGGTGCTAAAGCAGTGCAGAGGGGAGCAGCTGCTTCCCCCCGCGGGGAAGGGGATGAGCTCAGGGAAATGCTTTGCACTGGGCAGCTTTTACCAACCCCTCAGCCCTTACAGGAGTTATTTCCCCCAAGGTTGGGCTGAGCACTGTCTCTTGAATGGGCTTTGCAGGCTCTTCCCTGTAGCTGCTACAACTGATGCTCTCGTCCTCCTTATTCCTCGGGGAGCAGAAAAGCATCTTGATCTGCCCGTGCCCATGCACTGGGATGAAGTGCTGAGTTTGGAGCTCTGCCCTGCACCTGCCTGGCGAGTCTCTGGCCTCTGCTCTGCGCAGGGTAGTGGGAGCAGCAGCATTCCCCCCTTCTCAAAATGGGGGAGAAAAGCTGGGAGGGAAGGGCCTGTGGCTTCCCCAGCATCGCTGGCAGGAGGAAGGGGCCGCAGGGTGCGACACGGTGGGGCTGTGGTCAGATAAACCTGGAGGTGTGATGGATGCAGCCGCTCCAGCCTTGCGTATCCGCAGGGGGATTTGGGTCTCACCTTTGGCTGGTCCAGGCTTGGGTGGAAAAGGCGGCTTTGAAGACTGGTGAGAAGGGAGATTTTTAGTGAAACATTAATCCCCTCCAGAGAGCTTTCCCTAATCCTCAGTAATGTGCTGTTCAAAAGCCCTCTTGCAAAGGAACAATTGCACTTTCTTGCTGTTGTATCTCTCCTTCCCTGAGGAACTGCCCAAAGGTGTTCCTTGCTGACTGTTTCCTCTCATTTTTCTCTGATAAATAGAATTAATTCCTTTAAAACGTAGTGGAAGGAGCAATTTCCTCAGCAGGTAGTGGTGAATCTGGCAGACTGATTTGGAGAGATCTCTGCTGTCAAGGACTTATTTTCACTTTATTCCTTCCTGCTCCCTGGAGGAGAACCACAGCCTTTTTCCCCAATAACTGAATGTAACACTTTCAACTTTGAAATCAAACCTCTTAAATGTGGAGGAAGCAGATATTGCAGGAAGCAAACATCTAAATTTCTTTCAGAAACTATTTTTTTTTATTACTAAGGTCCCTGGCCATGACGGGCTGTTTCTTGCAGCCACAGCCCCGATTATGGGGCTAGAAGTTCAAACTGACTCTTAATAACATCTGACCATGCTCCAAGAGGGGGGCAGCAGGGAAATCTCCCAGGGTTAGGAGGTCATGGAGTGGGTAGCTTGGAAAAAATGTATGTGTGTGTGTGTGTGTGTGTGTATGTGTATATATATACATACATACACACACATATATGTATGTATATTGAACTGCTACAGCATCTTTCCTCAGCCCCAGGAGCTGTAAGGAACAGCTAATGATGCTGAATGATGCTCCTTGGCCTCTCTGCTCAATTCTGCAGTGTTTCAGGGTAGAAAACCATGATTTAGAGAGTGATTGGGATATTGCCAGCTTGCTCAGCTGCCTGCCAGCAGGATGTGACCGTGTCACATTCAGGTCCATATTCACGTTGCTCTGACTTGGTTTATTTTTAATTTTTCCAGCAAGTTGATACCTTCTTCCTTGCAGCTGCCTGCCCCGTCCTGGCCACGTTTCACTGGAGTTTGCACATGGGTCCAACATTCCCAGCTTGCAGGGCTGGCTGTGCTGAAGCCAGCAGTGCCCACCAGTGTGGAGCCTGTGCCCATGGCAGGGCGGAGACTGGGATTTGTTGTTTGCTCCACTTGACATTGGAAACAACAAAATCACAAGTCTTCCAGCCTGCCTCAGGGCTGAAGGATGCGTGGGCAGCGAAGGGTCGTCTGGAGAGCCTTGCCGGAGCTGCCCTGGGATGAGAGAAAAGGAGAGGGTTAGTATTTGGGCACCTGCCCTTCCCTCTGGGTCTGCGTGTGCCTCTGTACGGCCCCATGTAGGGTTAGGTTGGGTCTGGCTGATGCACCCACGCTTGCACCTATGGGTGCATGAGGGGCTGTGTCACCCAGGAAACCCAGTGGGTTTCTAATGTGCACTGGGAGAGGGTCCAGGGTGCCAGAGGGGCTTCGCAGCCCTTGGCCACTGCTGGCAGTGGTGACACAGGACAGCAGTTGTGCCCAATGTCTGTCCCCTGCCCAGTGTCAGTGATGGGTCTGAGCCCCAGCTTGGCCCCAGTCTCCTGTTTGGGAGCCTGGACTGTCAGTGGACTGCTCCAGCTCTGTCTCTGCCAGGGATGGAGGAGAAGCCTCCCACGTTCCCCATGCCGCTCCAGGAAGGGTGTCTGCTTATGGCAGCTTTTGCTGCCATCATGCGCTGGGATGTTTTGTCCTGCCCTGCTTGTGTTTTCTTGGGTGTCCTGGTGGGAATATCCCCATCCTTGCTGTCTCGGTTGCTCTGCCCTGTGAGACACAGCTGGGGTGCGGCCGTGAGACTGCTCCTCCATGAAGGTTATTGCTGCTTTTTTTAATCCTAGCAGACAGAGCAGATAGCAGTGAAATATGGAGCAGTCAAGGCTGTTGCCCTGTGGACTTCGGGCTGCTGTGGTCTCCCGGCTCAGTGTGACCTTGGAGATAAGCCCCCAGCACTCTTATCAAGGGGAGTGGGAGGGAAAGGCAGCAGGAGCTGGGATGCTTGGTGGGAAAACAAAGTGCAAGGGGGTACAGGAGCAATGCTCACAGGGCTGGAGCAGGGGACGGGGGATGTCGCTTGACTCTGTTGGCCACGCTGGCAAAATGCTGCTGCTGTCTGTGACGGTTGCAGCAGTGCAAAGTACGGAGTTGGTGCCTTCGCTGGATGCGGTCACACCCCATTGCGCAGCACGCATGCCACATGCACCCTGTTGCACAGCACACGTCCCACGTGCACCCCATTGCACACCTTGCACGCCACACAGCCCGTGTGCACCCTACCATGCACCCCATTGCACAGCGCACACCCTGTATGCCCCACGCACGTCCCATAGACCCCATTGCACACCTTGCACACCGCGCACCCCGTGCACGCCCCGTCATACACCTCATCGCACCCCTGCTCACCTGGGGGCTGGTTGCCCGTCCTCCCCATGACTCTCCCAGCTGGCGTCGGCAGAGCAGTGATGTGCAGGAGTTCGTGGCAGCTCTGGGCTGCTCCCGTCTAGCCGGAGCACGGCGTGAGGAGCCATGCAGGGAGGCTGAGGCATTTGCACGGGGACACTCCCACACGTGCCACCTCTCCGCCAGACCACATCCTTCTCCCGCTTTTGGAAGCACAGCTTGGCAGCAGCAAAGGGAGATCCAGGGGACGTGACACGGGTGCATGTCTCCATCCCTGCGGCGTCACCTGGGCCAGACCCCTGCCCTGGACAGTGGGGCAAGGGATGCCAAAGCGGGGCGTCCCCAGCTCTGCAGGCGCACCCAAGCTCAGGGTGCCTGCAGCTGCCAGCATCTGGGAGTCTTCCAGTGAGACTGGCCTGGCAATAGGCTGGCCTTGGTGACAGCTTTGAGTGGCAGCTGGAGAAGGGACGGAGCTGGGAGGGACAAGGACGCAGCGTGGTGGCTTGGCCTGGCCCAGCTGCATGATGCACCGAGGCGGGGGGAGAGGGGCCACGGCACCGGCTCAGGATCTGGCCCCTGCCCTGGAGAAAAGCAAACAGCCCCCGGCTGCAGGGCCAAGTGCTGTGCCGTGGGTTCTGCTGGGCTTTCTGGCCAGGCACACACACACGCGCTCTCTGAGGCTGCAGAGCCCCCTCTGCCCCTGGCCCACGCGCAGCAGCACCAGCACACGTGCAAAGCAGGTGGCGAGCGGCAGGCATGCATGCCGTGCAACCGCACGGGGAGCAGCGTCTGTGCACGCAACATGCAGGTTGTGGGTACGTGCAGTGCACAGCACCAGTGCGTAAAATGCCGCGTGTGTGTGTGTGTAATGCATGGTGAGCTGCATGTGTGTTCCCAGCTGCTGGGGGGGTATGTGCAATGCTCAGGTGGTGGGGATGGGTGGGTGCATGTATGTGCACACATCTGTGCGCATGCACGTGTATGTGTGCGTGCGTGCATGCATGTGAGCATGTGCACGTTTGTGTGTGCACGTGTGTACGCGTGTCCATGCGTGCATGTATGTGTGCATGCGTGTACATGCCATGTAGGTGCGGGTGCATGCATGCACGCCTGCGTGCACGTGCACGTGTGTGTGTGTGCATGCGTGTGCACGCACGCCAGCATACGCGTGTGCCTGGTTTTGTATCCGCGTGTGCCCCTGTGCCCGCACACGCGTGTCCGTGCCGCTGTCCGCCCTCCCCCCTCCGTCCCGGACGGGTCCGCCTGTCCGTGC